CTATTTCCAGCTCCAGGATCATTGGTGGCTGACTTGACGGATATTATTTTACTTCATTAAGGGCCTGAAGGCAAAGTGACATTTCACCTGAATAGGTCAACATGCAAAGGAGTCAAAAACCAGAGCCTCCCAAAACCGAATGCTTTAGATTATTTTCACCAGCAGAAAGACACAAACAAGAAACCTGGGTAATAAATACATTTGCATATATCACTTTTTTAACAAGCTTGTTGTAACAACTGGAGTATGTTTAAACATCAAAAACATATTTGTAATATTAAAAAGTTGTTAAACCATCTAAATTAATTTAAAGGAAACCCTGCAGTGCTTTACTTGCAAACCAACCCTATTCCTGTGGAAATCAATAACAGTTTTGCCACTTAATTCAGTGGGAGCAAGTCTGGGTGTTTGTGTTCTGGCTCTGGGAAAACCCCTATGAAGCCAAGTGGAATCTTACTCATATATGGCTTTTGGAATAATGACAGCCAGGCAACATTTATAATCATCCCAAATAGAAGTCTCTCTACTCCTGTAAAAAATCTCAAAGAAAATTGCAACTCAGGAAGAAAAATGCTTGCCCTTACAGTTGGGATTTTTAAAATATTTCTACTGAACTCATTTTTAGCTTTTGGGAAGTCAATAAGTGTCAAAACATTCATATAAAATAGTCTCTTATAACCAGCTTAATGCATTAGACATACTTTACAGCCAGGCAAGATACAGGGTTTTTTGCATAAGTAAGAAACGAAAGATAATCACTTTAAAGAATCAGACAGGCCAGGGTGGTACTTTAGATAGTAACTGGTTCCCAGAGGCATAAACTTTCATAAGGGACAGCCTACTTCCTCAGATTCAGATCAACATGGCTAACTAATCACTTTTAAAGGATGTCATAACTATAGTGAGAACAGCACAAAAACAGTAATTTTGTTTTGCTTTAAAAGTTCATTTTGTGTTCTAAGTCAACAGAAAGTTTAGCTTATTTTAAAGCTGCTCATTTGTTTTATAAAGTCAGGGGAGTCATTCACCATTTCCCCATGCTTTAAGAGCAATCTAGGAAATATATATATTAACATTCAGGGATCCAGGAATACTATTGACCAGTAAATGAAAACAGTGTGTATGTAAAGCAATTAAATCACCACAGAACTAGGATTCCTAAGATTATCCCTACAAAATCTGGTTTAAATCCCTACCATGACCTCGTAACAGCACAACACTTTACTAAGCAGCAAAATGTTATTTCTGCTCATATAAAAGTCAAGATTCATTAAGATTAGTAGTCTTTTACACTTAACAAAAAATATCATTTCTAAAATACACATACACAAGCGCACAAACATTGGCACTCATTTGAGTAAACTTTATGCAGATGTCTCCCTTTTTGCCATCAAAAGGGAAAATTGCAAGCAAGACCCCATCCTTCTACCCAGGAGACCTTCAACTACACTTTATGCTATTGCATGTGCTTTATACTGTAGGCTTTATGCTATAGGCCTGGAACTACATTTCTTGTCCCTAAATCCCCAGTAATCTGAATGGAAGTTTTGGAGGGGTAGTAATACATAAACAAGTCACTGTCTAAAAATCAAATGCAATTTAGACCTACCACCCAGCTAACAGTTCTCTCTTACTGACAGAAAGTGATTGCCATGATTACTCTGTTATCTTCAGGAAAGTTATACCAGAGGCATATGTATTCTGTTGTACCTAGCGAATATATTTTATCTTTCCTTTTATACCAAAGGGAGGGACCACTTAAATAAATATACATATTGTTGGTTCAGGGCGCATATCACTTAGCCACCCAATGGTTACAAAAAAGAAATAGCAATTGAAGTTCTTCTGGGGGCTCATTGAAATTAAACAAGTTTTCAAAGTCAGAGTTTTGAAAAAAGACTGCAGTCTTAAAGAAAAATAAATGCTGCCTTTTCCTTTAAATTGGGGACTAAAAATATTACATTCAATTTCTGGCTTCCCAGTATTTAAACGCTGCCATGATTAAAGCAACTTGTGATGTCAAACACAGTACAAAGGGGCAAATAAAAAGAAAGCAATCAAAACAAGTTTCCTGATAAACAACAACAGTTGAAACCATGCCAAAAACGCACACTAAAGATAACCTAATTACTACATATCTCTGTTTGCTATTCAAAGTGCATATCCATAAATTATAAAGGAGGAGCCCAATCTTGCTCCCAGTGAAGACTATAGACACCTACAGACTTCAGTAGAAGACAAATGGTCTCATCTTTGTGTGTTACATGGCTGCATTAGATATCCGTAATCATACTGAGTATGCAAGATGCATTTTCATCCAAACCTAAATGATATCAAATTTACACACTTTTTTTTAAACAAATATTATAATGGTATTCAAACTGCTCAGCAAGTGAAAACTTTTGTTTAAAAAAAAAGAAATAAAGATATTGTTTTATATGCACATTTTTTAGTACTTGCACATAACCATGACCATAGGGGCATGTATAAAGTCTACAGCTTGGCTTCCATATAAAAAAAACTTTACAGACAGTAATGCAATAATTCAACCTTGTGTGCATAAATAAATGTATGCATACTCCAAATATGGGAGTATTTAAGAGGAAACAGAAAACATGCACACTTTTTTGTATGAAGCAAAAATTAAATAACTGTAGAAACAGTTTTAAGGATGGATGCTTAGTGTTACCGAATGAGTACCAGATTAAAGGAGGATAGCTCTTCTTCCTTGCACCTGTAAAAACACCAAAGAAAGAAAACAAGTTCTTAGAAAGTATTTTACATTATTACTTTTAAGTAGACTATACTATTGCAGAATAAATAATATTTCAGTTTATTTTTATAGTACTGTTGCTAGCAATTTCTTTAGCTATTGCTGACATCAAATAATAATATCTAGAAGAATCAACGTCAAATTGAGTACCAGGACAGATTATGTTAGCTTTTTAGAGAATTTACTGCTGGTAGCTTGAGGCAAAAAACATATATTTCCTTTGATCCTAGTCCTCCCCAGAATAAGGTCCCTTAATCCACAATGTTCTTTAGAAATCCTCTACACATATAATGATATGCAAAAAAATGTTTTCTAAATGTATATACCAGGCACATGTGACTGCCTTATGAAGCTCAGAAAAATTATCCAATTGAGTATTTGGCTATGCTGACTGTCCATACGTAAGATATTAGAAGTCAAAGAATAATTCCATTTGCTTGGTCAGTAATACAAATGTTTTCACTGAGCACTAACAATGGACCAGCTACTTGTCCGAACAAAACACGTTACTGTGACATTAGCTACTAGCACTTATTGAAGTATGACTGAAAGAAATATACAGAGTCCAGCAAAGTATGTAAGCAGGTACTGAAAGTCCCAAAACACCACAGCACTTGCACCCCTGCTTAAGTTTAAAATGTAGGATCCTGGTTTAGGCAAAAACCCTATTAAGACAAGTGTTTAAGTATGTGCTTAACTTTAGGTATTTACTTTGGTATCTTAACATCCAAGGGCATGTCCAAAGCTAAGCATGAACATAAGTGCTCTTTTAAATAAGGATCTAGTCCATTCTTAAAGTGATTTAGCATATCATGGCTTATATCTCATTAAATTTAGACATGTTTAATGTTTTGCTGAACTGGGGCCTTGCTACTTTGCTAACTCAGGTCTGATCAACATCTTGCATAACTGAACCCTAACTACAAATTATTTTAGGGCAAGTTGACTTATACACAGAACAGGTTGCAATTGAAATCAGCCTTTTATAAAATGTGAATGTTTCCTTGAGGTTTAAAAAGTACTCTCAGACAGAAGACGAATGTAAGGAGGAGTGCTCACATTCAAATAAAGTATGAATGCCTCAGCTTTAATTTAGGTGTTCTCTCTAAGAGTAGATGCTACCTATAACCATAAAATTGCTCCAATCCAGGCACACAACACTATGGGTGCATCTACACGTGCACAGTTACTGCGCAGTAACCAAAAATGACTGCCCAGTATGGGCACATGCCTACACATTCACACTCATACTGTGCAGTAACTATGGTGACTAATGCCGACTTGGGCTTAAATTTACTACCTGCATGATGCATGTAGCAAATTTACACCTGAGTAGTTGCCGCACAGTAAGGCACATGTAGATGCCTTACCACACAGTAACCCCATGTATGTGAACTGACTTGCGACTAACTTTAGTCCCAAGTCAGTCCACACACAGCGTTA